CGGTTTTTAACAAGAACTCGAAAATATAGTTTTTACCAAAAATGACAAAAATATTCACCAAAATTAGAGAATTAAAGATATCAACATGAAATGAACAAACCTAAGAGAGGTCTACCCAAGGTACATATACACCAAGTATCAAAGCATTTAGGCTTGTAGTTTTCAAGAAGAAGTCGAAAAAGTAAAACATTGACACGGACGACGACGACGGACGACGACGACGACGGACGACGACGGACAATCACTCATATGATAAGCTCCGCTCGACAAAGTCGACAGCGGAGCTAATAAAAAAAAGATTGTCTTTTAGGCTGATAATAAAAGCAGGGGAGTCATCACCTGCACATGCGTAAGATGGCCATAGCTTGTCAATGTTTATAAACAAGCGTATACCCATGAGCCTTTGCGTTTTTAAGCGTGTGTTGTTATCGTCGCTTGGGACTCAATTCCGGCGCGTGCACAGGTGACGACCCTCCCGCTTTAAGACGATGCATGAATAAATGTAACACATTTCCAATTTTTATTTTTTTAATGTATTCTATGGAGTTTTGGGATTAGTACTGTAGAATACTTTATTTTCGCTTGGAATTTATTTTCGCTATTTTCGCTGAAGGAATGCTTCAGTGAAAATAAAATCCAGCGAATATACTTTTTTTCCTATATTTCACATTCAACTTGTCAAAAATCCGTGAAAATAAATTTCAAACAAAACACCCAATAAGCCTTTTCAGCGAAAATTATTTCCAGCTAAAATAAAGTATTCTACAGTATGTCAGTTTTTATATAAAAGCAATTCTTTGCACATTATTGAGTATATATACTTGCCCTTGTTTGACCTTTGATTGAAGTCCATCTAACGCTGACTCGGCCGTTGAGTAACCGAAGTGCTTAGCATAATCTTTACTGAAAAATACCTAAAATTAATAAATTGATATGAGTCAATTTATTTTTATTATGTATCCAGGAATTTATACAGCATAAACCCCACCATAAAAAGTGCAGAATAGTTTTTTTTTTATTTCGTCATTGCACAGCACCCTCTGTGGACGAAGTGAAAAAACTTACAAAATGTGTGTGGTGAGAATGCCCTCAACTCATTAAATAACTAAGACTGAGGGGCGGGCTTATACCCAGGGAGGGGATTATTATTAATAGAGCAAATACAGTATATTATTAGTGTAATATATATCAATATCTTGACTAAATCGGTGAGGGCGCAACATTCAAGTTTACCAAAATTTATTAGAATGGTACTTTCAAAGTCACATGATATACATTGAATTATTAATGAGAAATTAACATACAATGGACCTTTTATGCTGTAGTGTACAAAATAATTGCGTGCTGAATATCACAACTTTTATATTTTCTATGGTGGCTTGTTAGTTTCGACCACATGTGTTTACAAGGGTACTGACTACAACTACAGCATTCAGAATCATAAACAAGCAGCCTATCGGCTGAGATAGCTCTGCTGTTAGCAATGCACATTTCAACTAAAGAACTGAAGACATCATTAGAAAATGAACAATATGTATATTATCAAAGCAATCGGACTTACAGTTTTTAACAAGAAGTCGAAAATATCACTTTCTACCAAAAATGACAAAAATATTCACCAAAATTTGAGAATTGAAGATATCACGAAATGAACAAATCTAGAAAAAGGTCTACATGTAGTATGTAATATCAAAGCAATTGAACTTTTGGTTTTTAACAAAAAGTCGAAAATATTACTTTTTACCAAAAATATTCACCAAAATTAGAGAATTGAAGATATCATCACGAAATGAACAAATCTGAGAAAGGTCTACATGTAGTATCTATATATGTAATATCAAAGCAATCGGACTTAAAGTTTTTAACAAGAAGTCGAAAATATCACTTTTTACCAAAAATGACAAAAATATTCATCAAAATTAGAGAATTGAAAATATCATCACAAAATGAACAAATCTGAGAAAGGTCCACATGTAGTACCTACCGGTTTATATGTAATATCAAAGCAATCGGACTTACAGTGTTTAACAAGAAGTCGAAAATATCACTTCATACCAAGAATGACAAAAATATTCACCAAAATTAGAGAATTGAAGATATCATCATGAAATGAACAAATCTGAGAAAGGTCTACATGTAGTATCTATATATGTAATATCAAAGCAATTGAACTATTGGTTTTTAATAAGAAGTCGAAAATATCACTTTTTACCAAAAATTACAAAAATATTCATCAAAATTAGAGAATTGAAGATATCATCACGAAATAAACAAATCTGAGAGAGATTCACATGTTGTACCTATATATGTAGTATCAAAGCAATTGAACTTGCGGTTTTTAACAAGAAGTCAAAAATATCACTTTTTACCAAAAATGACAAAAATATTCACCAAAATTAGAGAATTGAAGATATCAACATGAAATGAACAAACCTAAGAGAAGTCTACCCAAGGTACATATACACCAAGTATCAAATCATTCAGGCTTGTAGTTTTCAAGAAGAAGTCGAAAAAGTAAAACATTGACACGGACGACGAACGACGACGGACAATCACTCATATGATAAGCTCCGCTCGACAAAGTCGACAGCGGAGCTAAAAATATGATAACAAGTTATGAATATATATACTTACTACGTCGCCATGAAATGAAAGTTCATGGAGATTCATTTTGGGTTTTTCTAGTTCAACAGATATTGTAATTTTGTCTTTCTTTGTATTTTCTTTGTTATTGTACTCTTCCACTTTCAGGATCATTTTCAATATTTCTTTCAAATTTCTTCCCTGGATAATAAAAAATTTAAAGTTTTAATGTTTCACACACACTGTAGACTTGTTAATGTATTCTTACACTTCAGAGTAGAAAAAGCAAATATCAATTTAAAAAAAAAAATCATTACAATTTAGTAAAAAATAAATTTCCATAAAAACGGCATGAATGTTTTAAACTTAAATATTTATCAATTCAAAATGGCAGTGTATAGTGACATAAATGTTATGCGTCTTTAGAAAACTTATTCGCAGAGTGGGGTGGCAGGTCAAGGTGACGATTGATAAGTAACTGAGCAAACCAATCCAATTAAATGCCTTCTTTGGTTTTAAAAATATTTATAAATATTAACATGCCTTTAACTGTAGTATGAAAGTTTTGTTTAAGAAAACACTTAATGGATGATAGGATAACAATTATGGGAATTAATTATGAATTCAGGGATAAGAATAGGAATGCTAATTTTCAGCTGAAAGTAAAGTAGCCGGGGTCACCAGTTACCACTTCATCTTTCTTCTCAATTCACACGATCAAAGTCACTTCCTTATCAAGCAATGCCCAACGAAATTTGTTCTTAATGTCTTTATCGATCTATTGCACTGCTGACTCGTTTTCTTTTGTAACCAATTTCACCATTATCGCAGCATGAAACTTGTAAACAACGTTCCAGCTCTGCTAACAATTGAAACAATAAAATGGCGTCGTTGGTGTATGGCCTAAGACCATACACAGGCCTCTTGCAGCCGACAACAATGACCCGACAGTGTGTTTACTTCGGGTGAATAAACAAGATCTATATTTTTACCCCCTCCCCTAAAAAAATTGACCCCTGCGGCTTAGAAATCCATGGAATTCCACGGGAATTCCCTGTGAATTACTATGTTTAAAATTTTAATTTAGTCAAGAGTATTAAAGTTGTAATGACTAAGAAAGGAAATAGAAATTCGTGTTACGATAAAATTTAACAGTTTAAATAATTTGCTGTCACAGTAATGCTTTGTAATAATTACTGAAAACATGTCTTTTTAGCGAATTTAGCGAGAGAACTGATTCGCTAATTTAAGATGTCGCTAATGACTTTATTATAAATTTAAAATGGCCAAGGCTTGGGGATTTGTATACAGTAATCTGGGGCGCTTTCTAATTACAATTGACAGTTTTTCTTTCTTTTTATGGAGTTGATAACTGCGCATTTGTTTTGGCACGCGACAGACAAGTATTGTGAAAACAGGAAATCAACAATGACAAGAGAGATTCGTTAAATCAACATTTCGCGATTACGTCATTTTACCACAATTACCTAAAATTGCATGTCGCTTTTTCAACAATTACATGTTTTACATCATATGCTCTGGGAACTCAATCTGTCAAAAACTATTGCAAAGTAAATCTTTATAATGTTTTTGTTTTTATACCTCAAAATGTATCCAGGTGTACCGACGAAAGTCCAGCTTTTCAAAATCTTCACAACTTAGTTCTGGTAGATTTCTACAGATTTAAAAATATCAAAAGAGTTACAGCACTGTATAGAAATGTGTGCAAAAAACATCCCATACAATGTGTGTAAGAACAAACACTTTGTTTGTTTACACTAATGTTGTTAATAAATAAAATTTCTACACAAATATGTATACTGTATTTATTATATAGTTACACATCTACAATATAGGAGACTGTAAATTCTGGATTTGGTTTTTGTTCTAAAACAACCAAAGAAATGAATATTAAACATTTCACAACATGCCAAAAAAACACTATCTACATGGAAACAAGAACTCATACATTGCCATGGAAACTAGAACTCGCATTGCCATGGAAACTAGCACTCACACATTGCCATGGAAACTAGAATTTACTTGTTGCCATGGAAACAACAACATACACTTTGCTATGGAAACTAGAACTTACACATTGCTATGGAAACTAGAACTTACACATTGCTATGGAAACTACAACTTACGCATTGCTATGCATTATTGTTCGACTGCCGCTTGCATCGTTAACTATACAACACGAGGTGGGAACTTGACAATTATCGTGATAAACACAGTGATCAGTAATAACCCCGTAATGATGAAGATCCTCCATTATCAATCTATTAATATATAAAATTATACAGACGAAGCTATAAATGGTAATTATTTCATTTGATTTGATTGGCTGTAACTTTGAGGCATAAAGCTGGGTTTTCAATTTGGCCATCCAATCAGTGTTTTTTTTTGGTTTCCAAATTGTAACATTACCAGTTAACCTTTCTCGTCCAAATGTTTCTGCACTTTTTTCTGATATTCTTCAATATTTCTGGAAATGAACCCTAATTTTGGAGCCAACAGACAAAAGTTGGGTCAGTTTACAGTTTTTACTCCAAAAAATTGGCTATTTTTGCCCCAATCAAGTGCAGACTATAAACGGAACTATTTTGTGAGTTTGTGATGAAAAGTGGGAACTGGTGGTGAAAAGGTTAAATAAAGGAATATGACATTAATCATATTTACTAAGAATATAATTTGTTTTATAATGTTTGTGTAATTTTTAAACTATTGTGGCTTAAATATAACTGCGTTGAATAACTTTACACAAGGTTACAGAAATTGGCATTCATTTGTTTTCAGCTGTTGCATTTTTCAAAAAATAAATTCCTAAAAAAAGATGAATATTTTGTGATGTTACATAGATTTATTAATTGCTATGACATCATGGATTGTAGGGGTAGATAAACAAGGGCTCACAACAATAATCCATGAATCAGAAACTATGCTGCGTTTCACTCGTGTGAATCACGGGGGATTCCAATCAAGCAGCATTTAGCAAAGAAATTATTTTGTTTCTTATCAAAGAATTTATGACATGTGTGATGCTTAAATCTGAATCAATAATGATACATATCTACACAGTCCCTCTAACCCCGGTCTGGAAACAGTCATTGTATTAGGTGTGAATTACCTCCTTCCCTGGCAAAGGCGCGTTGCGGGTATGGGCATAGCATTGTAACGTGATCAATACACAGTCAGACACTATTTTTGACATCATCAGTGCTATGTGTTTTTTTACAACTTAGTTGTTTATTCCAGAATTCTTGCTTTTTCACGTAATTTTTTAATCAGGATATCTGTATAAGGTCATATTTTAGCCGGCGAGTAGTTCTTTAATTCATCTATTTTACCAGCAGCGACACATTTCCGCAACTAATTTCCATACCTTTACCCATAAATTGTTCGTGTTTGATTTAGGGGTGATTCAAATGAACTCTATTTTATTTACCCTATTTCTCAGCGCAACACCAATATTTGTCTTCGTTTTTGACATATTATGGTCAAAACATATCATAAAAATTGGTGGGCTGATTTGTTATTTTGTCACATCGAATTTTATTTATGTTAAATTGGGCGATTTTTATGGATGCTTTTTCTATCGTAAATGCAAATGCAACGTTTTGAAATGACAATGTACGATATTCTGTGCTGAAAAAAATCATTCATATACAAAAATTGTAGCATTGTTTTATACTTTTCATCGAGTAAAGTCAATAATTGTTATATATTTGACTTGAACTGTTATGCACCCCCAAGAATCAGAAATATCGCAGGTTTTTCGATCGACCATGCTAACATGAACGAGGCCATTTTGACAAGATGTGTTTAGCGATGTCAGCATGTTGGTACGCGAAGTTCTTTCCTTATTAAACTAGAAGATGAACATAATTCCCGATATTAATCATTACATGGCAGGAACTGGATGTTTATGAGGTAGGCTGGTTGTGATACATATCAGGGTTCAAAAACCACAAATTTCATGGTGATAATTTTGTTTACATGTTTTGTTTACATTGTGGTTGCCCGAATTTGAGATCAAAGTGAAGTCATACAATGAGGTATCGCTTTGCATGACAGTAAATTTGCCAATTTTACTTTCTGACTCCCTCGGCCGAGTGTGAATGGTTTGTTTACCTGCAACGCGGTGCGAGACAAAAGAACGCTGGTCGTTTCCAGACCGGGGATAGAAGGACTGTGATATCTAGGACTGTAGCTAAGTGTTTGTGGCGAATATCAAGTTGAACTTCCAATAAATTCTAGGCTATGGTTAAAGGGGTTCTGTGTTATTGTACTTGTACTTACTCAGACAATTTATGCTTGGCTAGGGTGCCAAGATATTCACATGGTAAGCCAAGCTGAGCTAATACAACCGATGAATTCCCTGCATTACCACCGCGTAAACAATGCTGCTCCATACATCTAATATTGAAAGGAATTTCATTACTGTAAAATACTTTATTTTAGCTGGAATTAATTTTCGCTGAAAAGACATTTTAGGAGTTTTGTATGAAATTCATTTTCACTGATTTTTGAAGAGTTGAATGTAAAATATAGGAAAAAAAGTATATTCGTTGGATTTTATTTTCACTGAATCATTCCTTTCACGAAAATTAATTCCAAGCGATAATAAAGTATTTTACAGTATTTATTATATCATACATACATAAATTCAATGTTAATTTCATTAAATAACAGAAGATGCAAAGCCTGCAACAAAAATGAAATACAGGATGAGAAACATTTTGTGTTAATATGTTCTCAGTACTGCACCCAAAGAGATAAATTATTCATTGAGGCTGAAAAAATTAATAAAGAATTTAAAAATAACAGTAACAAACACATGTCCATTCCCTTTCCCAATTTCTGAAAAATGCATTTGAAATAAAATATTTATTCTTTTTTTCTCTTCGACAACTGTACAATGTACTCATTTCTATTGATATGTACTTATTTGAGATTTTATTATTACCATTTGATTTGTTTTACCTATACTTTGAGTACTTGCCTTTAATATTTGTAGTTTGTTTATTTTTTTTTATCATTAATTTTAATAAATGTATTATTTTTTTTTTCTTTAGTTTTTGTCTTCAACTTTTATAATTGTAGTTTTTTAGTGACCTTACTGCTGAAGTCAGTGTTGTGTCAATAAACGTATAGGTTAAATCCAGATACGTAACTTGTTTGTCAGAAAGTGTTGACTAAACCAGGTGAAAATACAGTGAGAACATTGTATATGATTTGATACTTATCACAGTCGTATATTTTTTAGTAAATAAAAAAGATTGATTGAAAGTTATATTATAGCCAAAGTAGTTGCCCCAATTGGATTTGAATGAAACATCAGTAAATACCTCGCTTTGTTATAAATTAATTATAAAAATACTTAAACAGCTTTTCTGAAAGCACTGTATTAAAAAATGACATAGAAAAAAAAAGTCATGGTTGAAATGTTATCAGGAAATAAGTTGTTTGAAGAACAAAATTTTGTAAAAAAAATTGTCAATCGAATTACAACAATCATTATCTCCTGGCTACAACCACAGGCGCTCGGAACGTTTCTTGGCTAATAAAAAATGACCTAAAGTGGGATCGGCATAGTTAGTCAGTCGCCGGTACATTCCCCTACCACTCATAATAAGAGAGGGGTCTTAGACTGCACAAAAACACAGTTAGTACGTTCATTGCTATATCTACCTGGAATCCGTGTCTTCTTCTGGATAATGTCCTAGAACGTTAATAATGTCCAAACAAGTCAATCCAACTTGCAGAACACATTTCGCTTCCATTTGGACCGCTATATCCAGTTAGCAAATGGCTATTATATAAAGTTGAGCATAGGTCACAACTATTGGCTCTGACCCCCGACACAAATATGGGAAAGATAGTGAGAGCGCCACCAATCTTCGGAGTTCGAGTACCAAGTACTTGTTTATTACGCCACCAGTGGCAGTTTTTAATGTGAGCATTATAGGAGTGAATCATTATCCTGATTTGTTTGGTTATGCTGAATATGGTGTTTCTGGTACACAAAACAATGTGTATTGCACAAGTGAGTGAACAGATAAAGATACAATAACAAAAAAAATGACTTGCCATAAACTGGCCAATGATCATAAGATATTTATGCTCCAGTCAATGTCAACCCCCACCCTCCCCACCTCGGGGTTTAGTGGGGGATTTGGAAATTATTGTTGTAAAATTTGCGAAATGCCCCACCTTCTGGGGCAAGATGGATAGGCAAATCCCCACTCAAAACAAACCCCCATATTTCTCCCACCGATCGCCACTGTCTGCCATGCTTGCTATCAGCAGAGTACTAGCGATGACGGGACACGAAACACGGCCATCCCCCCCCCCACGGGCACAGTTTGGCGGTAAACCCTGTCTAATGCCCCACATTTGTCCCGCATCGCCCAAGGTGGGAGGGGTTGGGGTTTACATTGACTGGAGCATTAGGTTCAAGGTAAAAGGGCATGTTCACCACTTCACAGTATGAAATTTTTGCAGAATTGTTGACAGGACTCAATCTAAAAATTTCCCACAAATATACATCTCTAATTGGTTTGGGTGGTACTAGTATATATTAAGGGATCTGTTTTGACTCACGTGTGCGGGAGTTGTGTCGTCACAGGAAGCGCTGTTCCAGCACAGACGTAGAAGAGGACGACCTGCAGCGTCAATGGTGTGCGGGAGTCTTTGCAGTTAGCGTGTCTATGTGTGTCCGTCTGTTCCACTGATATCTCAAGAACCATACATCGGTTTTTGATGAAACTTGGTTCACAGATGCTCTGGGCCAATGCGCAGATTGATTAGGTTTTGGTAGAAATCCATGCATATTAATTACCTAATTTGCATGATAATTTGCTAATTGTCAGCTGTTCCATGACATCGATATCTAAACAACCACTCATTGGATTTTGATAAAACTTAGTGCATAGATGATCTGAACTAATGCTAGGTTTTGATTAGTTTTAGATAAAAAAAACGTGCATGTTAATTACCTAATTTGCATAATCATTGGTAAATTTTCGGCTTTTCCACTTTTAATCTCAAGTACTACTGGTAGTCATCACATTTCAATGAGACTTGGTACATAGATGTCATAGAACACTAAACAGAACTGATAGTTTTAAAGGTAATGTCAGTACATATTAATCACCTGATTTGCATAATTAGTTATTTTTCAGCTTTTCCATTGATACCTCAAGTACTAATCATCACATTTCAATGAAACTTGGCACATAGATTCTCTAGGACTATGCAGAGACCTGATTGGTTTTAGAGTAAATAATTACCCTAATTTGCACAATTAATTAATGTTCAGCTTTTCCACTGATACAATGCATCTAGAGTACTAATCACATTTCAATGAAACTAGGATTATGCAGAGACCCAATTTGTTTTCGGTAAGTATTTATGCATATTAATTACCTAAATTGTCAACTTATATTTTAGGTACTAATCATCACATTTCAATGAAACTTTGTACATGGATGCTGTAGGACAATAGACCTGATTAATTGTGAAATCTGTACATATTAATTGCATTATTTGCATAATTAACTAATTTTACTAATTACTAAACTAATTATTTCATTTCAATGAAACTTGGTACAAACCTGATATGTTTTGGGTTAAAATCAGTTCATATTAATTCCCTAATTAGCATAATAATTCATAATTCATTTCAATGGAACTAGGTACATAGATGGACTGTTACATTGTGCAGACCTCATTTGTTTATCACTCAAATCTGTTCATATTAATTTTCGGATTTGTATAATTAGTTTTCAGCTTTTCCATCAATATCTCAAGTACAAGTAATTTCGAATTAACTTTTTATGCATGTCCAATACTCTCAGCACAAAGTAGTTCTTTCTAAGCTCTCTTTGAGTTTATATTAGAGAAGAATCCTTGTACTTTGACTCATACGAGTGTGCCCTTCAACATGAATAATTTTGTAGGGATTCAGATTCAAAATGGAATTCCAAAATCAAGTGGAGTCTGCTTGTTGACTGCTGTGACTGTATTGATGACTTTTGACACATACAAAAACGTTTTGGCCTCTGATATTTTTACACTTATTTTGTTTAGAAAATGTGAATTTAATTTTACCAAATTACAAATTCAATAACTATAGTAAGATTACTCCATCAATGTATGATTTTCAGTTGCATCAATGACATACTAGTGAATTAAACTAGTTGCATCATAGCAAATCAGTGCGCATCACTGGAGTGACATATGCTGGTAACATTTTTTTAACAAATCTCCCCTGCCTACAAGTTACCAGCTCTACATTGAAAGATCATTTTTCCCAATGATTTCCCAATAAAAACATGTATGTCACAAATTATTTATATTCAGAAGTGGGTTTAATTTCAAAAGAAATTGACACATTATACAGTTGAATGCTGAAGGCAAAAATAAAACTAGATTTTGCCTCCGTCATCGGGTGCAAGCGTCAGTTTGAAATCTGCCCCTCTTATATTTTTGTTTTCAATTATGTATAGAATAATGTTTTTGTTTAGATGAATAGATGTTTTAATGATCTGAATCAACTTTTAATGCAGGAATTTTAGCATAATTTAATAAATGATAAACTTTGAACATATCTCGCTGTTGTGGTAAATAATCTTATTACAAAGAAATGAAACCGCACCACCTTTTTTTAGGTCAAAGTGGGTTTCAAACTTGCATCAGCGAAACAAAAGAAAATAAAGCACAGCCAGTGATCAAGTCTTATATGGTAATATGATTAGCTATAATTTATGCGTCACTGTCATCGCAGTGTCATGTTCGATATGGTTCCCGAGACACAGTCATTGACACAGACTTGTTGTCTAATCTCAAACATTCCAAAATTCATTTAAATATTTTTTGTAAGAAATCAGTTGATGATCTTTTTGAAACTTTTCTTTCTAGTTTATCTGATCTAATCTCATCCTCCGTTGGTCGTTGTTTAAATTTCCTTTCAAATATTGTCATTTCTTCGCCTTTCCGCTTTTTCTTCTTTTCCATCTCGTCTAGCATCTTCTTTTTCTGCACGTTCTTTAAATAAAAATTTGTTTCTCTCTTCGCTTGAGAAATTTCAGTTCTCATTCTCTGGTCATGCACTGCTCGCTCATAAGCAATTTTTTCATTAAGCTGAGTCCATTTAAAGCGATGTAGATATTTAATGTTCCATATATCGTAATGATATCGGTTTCTTTTTTTACCACCTATCTGAGTATTATTTAATGACCAAGCAACTTGTTTTGCAATGCTCTTATCTTTGAATTCTACCCAACCTTCTTCAAAAGACTTTGATGAGTTGCCGCCACGTTTCTTCCTTTCTTTTCGTTTCTGTTTAGCTGCAATAAATGACATGAGACGTCAGCACAACAAAGAAATACATTTTAACTGGCTGCTGGTTTTCAATAAACGGAATAAAACTTTGGGGGAATTTTCAAATGGTCTTAACCATAAATGAATAAATCCCAAGCCAGTTGTTTTAGTCTCCCTATTGAGTCTGGGACGCACTCACACACGCTACAGGGTCAACCCTTTATTTGTGTTGATGATAATTTTCGAAAAGCAAAATTATATGAAAGCAGTGGCATGATGCGAGTTTGTTGCATTAATGGGTTCGCTGGACTTTGGTTATGTGAGGCAGTGGCATTAATCGGTCCCTGGGATTCGGTTTTGTGAGGCATTGGCATTTAATAATTGGTTTTCCGGGCTTCCATTCTGTTAGGCAGTGGCATTAATGGGTTTTCATCAACTTTATAAAAGTACCTCACAATTGGTGACTATGAAGGTTTAGTAGAAGCTCAGCTTCTCCTGTTGTTAGACACGTGTTATTTGTATATTTAATTGTTTATTTTTGTGTATAATAAATTACTCACATTCTGGTTGAAGATAAACTCGTCCTATTTCACCAAACTGACTCAACATCAACTTCAGTCTTTTAGGTTTCATATACGGTGGAATGCGACTCAAATATACAATGCCAGCTATTCTATTGTCTTTTGCTTTTTTTACATCTTTTGTTCTTTTTAGCCTCTCTTTCTTTAGATCATCTCCATCTCTATCGTCATCCTCTTCTTTTTCTTCTGCACTCTCACCACCGTCATCACCACTACCATCATCATCAGTAATATATTCTTCTTTTTTTTCTTCTTCTTCTTCTTCCTCCTCCTCCTCCTCCACTTCATCATCAACAACCTTTTTCATTTTTTTTATTCTAGATTCAGAAAACATGTCACTTTGCTCTCTTGTATCTAAAAAAAAAAGAAGCTTGAATAAGGAAACCCTAATGTAAAATACTTTATTTTAGCTGAAATTAATTTTCGCTGAAAAGACTTTTTGTATGGAATTTATTTTAACTGATTTTTTTAATGTAATATATAGGAAAAATGGTATATTCATTGGATTTTTATTTTCACTGAATCATCCTTCATCCAAGCAAAAATAAAGTATTCTACAGTATCTCCAGTGTTGTCAGCACTAGTTTCTGTAGTGCTTTATTTGTTCAATGGTGAACTAGCTGAAGCCTAACAGTGAGGGTGCAATAACTAACACTGAGTCTGTCTGGCTAGACTGTTGTGTTGATTATTAACATTACATCAAACCATAAAAGGTATACTAAGGGGGAGAGAGCATAACTTATAATCAAATTTATTTTTTTTGCTTCAAACTGAAATTATCAGCAAATCGTTTTACACAATAATTAGTTTTATTTATTTACTTGAGGAACAAATTGAGAACATGCATATGATGGTTTTGAAGACAACACAGGTCACCGGCCAGATCAGACACTGCTGTTCACGTGCTACATTTGTTTCTGAAGTACAAGTCTAATGAATTGCTTTATTCATGTGTAATCAAAATGAACCAGACTTCCAAAAAATTATTATGAAGTACAATGACATACATCATGGTAATTATTTTTGTAATCACAATGAAGGATGTCAAGCAAAAACATACTTTCCATGATAAAAGAGTGATAAGACCAGAGGAGGAGAGTTGTCAGTCAGTGCAATTGTTCACAGACTCTGCTGCAATATTTTCTTTGAAATTTCAGCAGTGTTCTTACTCAATGTTGTAATGGCGATCGTTGACACAAATGGCGGCCATCGCTGTGGTTACTGACCGCCCGGTCGATTGATTGTACCTCCTGGTTAGGGACGACGTCAAAAGATCGATGTCGGATAAAAAACTTAATTCCTTTAGTTTTTTTCCAAACCCCCCTACCCCCCACTGAAACTTAATTGATAAATATTGGTCATGGCGTCAGACTACATTCATCATTAAATACAAATTGATAATCGGACAGTAGTATTGCATAGCAGTTGGTTGTCGGGTGGG